GGGGGGGGGGGCTCCGGCCGGCAGTGCGGAGGCCAGAGCGCCGTGTCGCCAACCCTTTGCACGCCGGGGCGGCTTTCGGCGGCTACTGAAAGGGAAGAAGGGCGTGGAGCACAGAGTTTGACGGCATCACTGAACGTCCTGGCGGCCTGCCGGGGATACCCAGAGCACGTGTGTACATGACACCCATGAGGCGAAGCCGCCGAAGGAGCACAATTAAGTAACGCTGGCACCACCAGCGACGAGAGGCTGTCGGGCAACGCCGCGCCGCAGGCCGCAGTGGAGCTCGGGTGCGTTCGAAGCGGTGCCGTCATCGAACTCTCCCTGGCTCGCACAGAATCTGCTGCTGCTTGGTGAGGGGTTTCTTGAACGCAGTTCATTCGGGGTTGGCGCCCCTGGAGCTTGGCGTGGCGCGGCCCGGCGCTACCCGGAGCGGGGCGCCATCTAGCGGGGGGCGCTCGAGCCCGGCCGCGGGGCCCAGAAGGCGGCCGCCGCTCGGCAGCAGGGAATGCCCGCGACGAGGGTGGGTGTGCTCCGCCGGGCTCCGCCAGGCGGATCGCTCACCTGACGCTGATGTCCTTGTTGCTCTCCCTGGGGTTCTCGCAGGACAGCTTCTTGCGGAACTCGTTGGCGAACAGCATGAAGGCGTTGGGCGGCCTGGGGATGCGGTCCTTGCGCGAGGCGGCGCCGGAGCCGCTCTGAGCCGCCGCTGCTGCGCCCTCCTCGAGGGCCCCTGGATGGAACACACAATCAGATGGTCAGGCGAGAAAGTGCCACACTGCGGGCCGGGGAGTGGCGGGCCGAGGCCGGGGTCAGGGCCTCGAGGGGCTCACTCTGGGGCTCGACGGGCCGCTTGCGCAGCAAGGTGCTGGACGTGGACAGCACGACGGGCCGGCGGGGCAGCGCGGCCGGCTCCTCGGGGGGGTCGGGGCTGATGGAGGCGCTGCACACCGTGAACACGTTGCTGTTGAGCGTGATGCCGTCGCCTGCAAGCACACCAAGCAGGAGTGGATGCGGGTCCCTCCGTCGGGTGCTTCTGCTCGGGGCTCGACGGGTACCGGCGGACGGGGGACGCGCTGGCAGCGCCGGCACCACCCCGACGACGCCCCGCCTCGCCAGGGTCCGCGTGGTGTGCATCTGCAGGGGTCGCCGCGTCGGCCCCAGGATGCCGACCGGGCCGCCGGGTCCGCCCGAGGTGCGCGCCAGTGAACGCCCATCTGAAAAAAACGCGAAGAAGTAAAACGTTTGATCGGCAGGTCTTAACGCGTCCGCCGCAATTGTGAGAAAGCGGCAAAGGCCACACCCCGGCCAAAGTGTCAAGAAAACCAGAGCACTAATAATTCATAATGTTATTACCACAATGGTAGAAATAAACGATACTTTATTTTTAAAACAAGAATAGTTGTTTTTGTGGATTTTTAAGACACTTGGTGAGACGCGGATCAGAGCAGTACCCGATCACGCGCTCATGTTGCATTAAAATTGGTTTCGGGATATACATTCCATGAAATTCGCGTAGGATATTTTTTTTAAATCTAACTTCAAGTCGGCTTTGTTTATAAGGACGTCATAAAAGCCGTAAGCGCTGGTCTACAGTGACATAACCTATCTCTCCAGCACGGTCCGGTGGCATTACCACCAGTTGCACAAGGACCCATTTTACGTGAAGCATCAAAATTCTGTGAAATTGTATCCACACTACCAAACTGCCTGATAACTTGGAAGAGGACTTACTTGTAATTAACTTATCACTTCTTAATTTTACGATGCACACTCGATTTGCTTGGCTCCGAGCAGCCGTAACATCCCTGTTTAAAACCACTACACAACGGGGTGCACCTGACTGTTTCATTGATAACCGATTATACACAAGAATGCTTGAAGATACGCGTGGTACAAGTATTATTTTCCCACAGAACTGAACACAAAAGAAGTCTTCTCGCGACTTCAACTTTCAGATCCCAATAAGCTTGGGAAGAAGAAAGGGGGAAGGGATACGTTGTCAAAATAAATTTGGGCCGTTACCAAAGGCTCGTCTTAAGGCGACAAAATGTTTCCAAAATAAGCAAAGCACACATCTGATTAACGGGCGGATGTCAAAAAGACGAATTAAATATCACTACGGCAGGCGGACTTACCCTTGTCCTGACAGCCACTCCTTAAAAAGACGCTCATTTAGGCTGTTCTTGTTAAACAGGACCTTAATTTGTAATTCAAATTTTTGCAAAACATAGTCTACACACGGTTACATTCGGCCATTGACAGAAACAAATGAAAGAACGGAGCACAAAAATCACACTTGTCCTGAATTAAACAACAAATCGCCTTAAACAATCCACGGGACTTCACCGGCTGGCCAAATGGGATGGTTGAGATTATTCAGGAGTGTTTTGTTCAATGCAGAACTTGGTCCGTTGCCAAGCAAAAAGAGTTAGTTCTAAGAAGGCGTGGATTCTAGACGAACGCGTCAAACTATCTACTTTTTCTTACTCAGGGTATGTTTTATACAGGAATCCATTCCCGTTTGATATCCAAATATATTTCCCGTTTATTTTCAGGTTAGTTTACCATTACGGACAGTTCATTTTGTAACTTCGAGTTTTTTTTATCTCAACAGTATCAATTTTTATTAGATTTAAGTAACTATCATATGAAGTTGAGAACATCAGTAAGTATGTAGGGTTTTAAGTAAGTCCCGCGGCAGTTGTCTCATCCCCTTCTTGCCCTTCTTTGTGTTGTTCTTACCGAGTGGTCGATGTGTTTATTTTGAAAGTAGTGTATTTTAGCGGGATAGTGCGCCTGAAAATGCGTGTTTTAATAAAAATTCGAAATATGTGTGCATTTACAATAGGTTTCGTTTGGTTTTCTTTCCTGATCGGGTCATGAGAAGTTTGGAATTCTTATACAGCCTTTGAAAGTTATTTGATTCGTTTTCCGGGCAGCCATTTTGCTACAAGCATGATGGCGACGCCCATATAATTGTGGGGCGCAAGTGGTTATTTGCAAATAGTCTGTTTGTCGTGTTTGTCAGCTGTGCTATCTCCATCTGATATGTCATCATCCCTGGTGAGGAAAGCACTTGAACTAGTAGAAACTGAGCCTGCTGCCAGAGCCCGTGAGTACATCTCCTGGAAAAAAATTTCTTAACCTACTCATCCCTCATGCATGTTATTCTGTGTTATCTCTGTCATAGAGTCCTTGAAAAGAGTCCAGAAGAATGATTCTCGACAGGATCTGAGGAAAAAGAAGAAAAGCAATCAAGGTCAATTCAGGGTGTTGGGTGGTAAGTTTATTGATTATTGAATTCATTCCGAAATCATGTGGATTTTACTTAAGTCGATTTCTATATTTATGTTTCTATATATTTGTATTTCAGATGTGAGAAGTGAAGCAGCATTGCAGGTGGAGACTGCAAGGCGGACATCTTCTAAAACAAAAGACAGGACGAGGGAAAACTTGAAACATTTGGCTGTTCTTGGGAAAACAGACGCAGCCAATTTTAAAAAGGCTCATAAGGTATTGTTGGATGTTCTTCCCATCAAGCGTGTGATTTAAACTTTTGTCAACACTGATTTTTACCTGCTCTCAATTGCAGATATTTGAAAGAACCGTGAAATCAAGGAGACCTGTTGATGATACTACTCCTGAGAATACTGCTTCCGTCTTCACAGAGGAAGACTTTAAGAAGTTTGAGGAAGAATACTTTGTCAGTTAGCTAATCATTCCTTACCAATTATTTGCACTAGATTGTTATGAATGACACAACTCTTGGTTGTCTGCTGATTGTTTTAAGTGTAGGATTTGGTATCTACTACACTGCATGGGTTATAGGACTTCCATTCTTTGAAGCAGATCATTTTATCCACAACTTGTTTCCCTCTGTTCACTTTGCTCTTTTGATTCCTGCGTTAATGGGTCTCGCTTTTATTGGGTCCTTGATTGTATTCTGTTTTATTGAATTGAAAGCTGCTTCATCTGCATCTAAGAAGAGGTGAATGTCTTAACAATTTCTCAGGGTTTTGTTTGTTCTCAATCTTCTATCATGTCCAACAAGTGGATTGTAGTTGGAATCTCTGGAGCAACTTGTGGTGGCAAGACTACTTTGGCCAGCAAATTGCATGAATATTTTCCAGAGTCTGTTAAAATTGGTCAGGATGATTACTTTCATCCTATTGATTCGCCACATCATGTTAAATGTGATTCTCTCAATCATATTAATTGGGAACTGATGTCAGCGCTAGATATGAAGAGTATGAAGTCTGACATAAATATGATTATTTCCCAAGATCCTTCATCAAATTGCTTGCCATCAAAAGCAAAACGGTCCGTGAAAAGTCAAAATAGTTTAAATACTCAGTGTAGAAATATTCTCATTTTAGAAGGGTTCTTGATTCTGAATGACCATGAAATAACTGCAATTTGTGATCTTTGTTACTTCATAACACTTACCAGAGAGGAGTGTTGGTCTCGAAGAAGCAAGAGAACTTATGACCCCCCTGATATTCCAGGCTATTTTGATCTTGTTGTTTGGCCTCAATATGTGAAAAGCAGAGATGAAGTACTTGCAAATCCAAAAGTCAAAGTATTAGATGGAATTGTTGCAATTGATTTATTACAGAAAGATGTATTTTCCGCCATTGAAAATCAGCTGATGTGCAAGAGAATTTAAGCCCATACTAAGACTGTTGCCATAGATTTTAACAAAGGTATCATTTGTTGCACAAGAATTTATAATTTATAACTGAAATTTATTATCACTACTTACACACTTTTGTAACAAATATGTCACATGGATAAATAAAATTGTATTCTTGTAAATTTAATCTTATTTTCACAAAATGAAGTTAAGGAATTAACAATGGTGATTTCACAATTTACATGTCACATGTTGCAGAGATAAAGTACTTTATTGTAGAACATAACAAAAATGTAAAGACATTGAAGATTTGAGAAGTTGTCTAAACAAGTTATTTCAACTCAAATTTGGAAAAAATAAAATAGTAAAACTGCATTCTTACTTAGATTTTACAAAGATACACATCACAAGAATGTTGAGGTATGTCACATAAGCATATTTCGAGCTTAGTACCAGAGCGGTAGAGAAGCAGGTATGACTTCCATAATTATGGAGTCTTATCTCATATTTGTTTTAATGGCACGGTTTGGGGCTTTGAAGTTTGCAGCAGCAGCATATTGCATCTCATAAGCCGAATGATGAATCTTAAATCCATAGAGCCTGTAAAAGAGGATGTATTGAGCAAAGGTGATATTACAGAAAATTAAAAGGACAGAATCATAAAATAATTAAAACAAAACATACCTTGCAACAAAGGAGTTTACAGGTTTCTTCGGCCTGTACTCTGGATGAACCATGAAAAGCATGTGGGGGAATCCAGTACCAAAATATGCACCGTCCGTGTGGTGGTGACGAGATGATTTAGGCGTGTAGACATCTCTACATTTGGGGCAGTAAGCTTTCACCATGGCTTCACCAGGTACATCTGATAATCCTGCATGTACATATTTTTGATTATGCATAGTGTATGGTAAACATTTCATACTGAGAAAAATAAAATAGAAAAAAGTCATACCAATAGGAAGCATGGGCTGAAGTTCACAGTAGACCCGAGGACAGTGCCCGAAATCTCCATTCTGATACTTCTCAATCATCTGGGCTATCCCTCGGTTAGTAAGGATATAACGAGCATGAATAAGGCCATAAAGCATTTCAGCAGCCTGCTCTATCAAATCAGACTGGTTTGGGTTGTCATCTATCTCATCATCTAAAATAATTAAACCAAGATATAATAAATTAAACACAAGTTATCAGGTTTGGCGTCAACTCCCTGTGATCAATGGAACAAGTCACATCAGATAGAATTTTAAAATGACTTCTTACCTGGCTCTAAATCTAAGATCATGTCATGGGCTTGTCGGTAGTGAGGCACTTGCTCGTTTAGACCAGTGAGATTGAATTTGTCTTGGATGTAATCTTCATCCACCTCACAGAAAAATTCATTTCCTCTCAACCCAACAAACCAAGAAATCCAAGATACTTCCTCGGAACTGCTCATTCTGAAAGCTTACAAAATGAAAAGTGGAACGTCAGATTAAAACTTAATGAAAAGTATGTGACGGGGTTAATTTGGTTCGTAGTTTTAATACTAAAGTTGGTTTCTGAGTCAAGTAAAATTACGGCCTAACCTCAACTTGATAAAACAAATCCAGCACACCACAGAACCGTCCTAGGTTATAGACACAGGGTGGCCGCGGTTTCGATTTTCACGTTTACAATTTACGCTATTGCAAGAAATTCAAATTTTATTTTTGTATCTAGCATCTAGAAAATAATGGAACAGTGGCAACATTAAAAGCAATTACCTGACCGTCGATAAGTAGGCAACTCCAGCCAGCTCCTCTTTCTCCCGTATCTCTGTCTCTCTCGCTCTCGCTTTTTTGGCGCTGCTTTGTCTTCGTTCAAAACAAATCGTTGCACGAGCCGGCTCGAAATGCGAAGGGCCAATAACAGGTCCTCACCTTAAAGTCAGCCGCGGACGCGGAGAAAGCTTTCTGCTCAGGGATGACGGATGACAACACGAACATCACCAGAACATCATTTGAAATAATTCCTAACTAATCCCTTGTAATTTTATTCTTGAAGAGCAAAGGCGACATGATAGGTTGATCACAGAGCCAGCCCCACAACTGAATGTAATTAACATACTTCAAGGGTTACATCGAAGGAATCAGAATGAGCTCTAGCAAACTGGCAAGTATCATGGGTTTTTATTTATCATTCATCAGATGATGCTGTGACATATGACATATGACACGGGACAGCCCCTGCTGAGCCTATTGAGACCTCCCCCTCCCTCTTTACCCCAAGGCAGGGGCATTACTATTAAAAGCTATAAATGGATGAGATGTTTAATACAAGTAAATGATGAAAATACTAAAATATCAAAGCATTATGAATTTAATAATAGTTTAATTACAATTACAGCCTGTACTTTACTCTTACTGGAGAAGTTCATGTTCATATCGAGTGAGAATTGGTGAGTCAACATACATTTGGTGATATTGATTGTATATCTTAAGATACAACAATAATACTGCATTGATTTCCAGCTTTGAACTTGAAGAACATACAGTATACCATTGAACCAGTGGATATTTTGAAGAAAGGACAAAACTGCACTAAATTTCGTCAGGTCAACCCTATGGGTAAAGTGCCTGCATTGCTGATAGATGGTCACACAATTGTTGAATCAGTAGGTTTTTCAAGTACTCATCTTTTAAAATACCTTGAACAGAAGAAGTTTTACATATACTCAATTTTCTAACAGCTCAATATTTTGCACTATTTGGAGGAGACACAGCCTAATCACGCTTTGATGCCATCTGATGTCTACCAAAGAAGTAAGGTAGGTAATTTTCAGTTACCACTTATGTTGAACTAGAAGTGTTTCATTTTAAGACAACAAATCTTCTTGGGGAAATTCAACAGCCCAATAGTATTTTATACTCTTAAATCTGATATCATATACTGTTTGCTAACTTAATTAAGGTAAGAGAGGTCTGTGAAATGATACAATCAGGAATACAGCCATTACAAAATGTAGGTCTCTTGTCCCACTTGGAATCAATTGCTGGAAAGGACGAAAGATTAAAATGGGCCCAGCATTGGATCAATAATGGATTTAGAGGTAAGAGACTTTGTAATACTGGAATAGGACACAAGTGTAACTATCAAAGTTCTCATTTCAGCTTTCAGCTAAACAATTAATTCATTTTGACAGCTGTTGAAAAGCAGCTAGCAACATATTCTGGTAAGTACAGCGTTGGAGATGAAATTTCACTGGCAGATTGCTGTTTGATTCCCCAGGTTTTCAATGCAATAATGTAAGTCCTTTTGGATTACTGTACTTCACAAGCAACTGTCATTAACTCATTAACATTAAGCTCATTTCATTCAATTCATTTTTCTCCAGGTACAAAGTTGACCTTGAGCAATACCCAACAATTCTGAGAATTAACAATGAGCTAGTACATCATCCTGCTTTTTATGCAGCCAATCCACTAAATCAACCAGATTGTGACAAACTAAAAAATAAAACAGACTCTTAACTTGTCTTAGAACCAAAACAGGAAAGACTGATTGTCAAACTGATATAATTGTGTAATGATTGTTGCAATAAAGATAAAATATTTTTTCTACAAAAAATAACAGAAGAGCGTACCACTCCTTCCAAATAAAACCCTTCGGCTATGGTTATAAAATGTGAACCAATGAGTAAACTCTTGTGGAAGACATTACATTGGAAAGTTTTACATCCCACTTCCCATTCCATATGTTTTATCCCATTGAACATAAGCATCTAAGTCTTTATTTGACACACTTGCTCTCACTCTCTGAAGAGCTGCTTTGAAATCATCAAGTGCTATAGGGCGAACCTGTAAATCATAGCAAGGAATAGAAGTTAGGAAACTTTAACACAAACCAAAGGAAAATTACAATTCATCAACACAACTATACCTGGTCTGCTGTGATCTGGTGCATTGCTGAAAAAGATATGGATCTTATTGGACCAAGGGATGCTTCTTGACAGAGGTTCTTCATATCAGCACCAGAATACCCATCAGTTAAGGAGGCAATATCATCAATTTCTTTAGCAGTTAAAACACTACGTTCCTTTGACATGAGTCTCTCCACAATTTGTTTTCTTGCCTACATGAAAGAAAAGAAAACAATTCACCCAGGATAAGAAAAAAACTAAGCAGTGACGGAAAAATATAAATAGTTCAACAAAAAATTACCAGAAATTCTGGAAGGGGAATGTACAGTCGTTTTACTAATCTGCGTCGTGCTGCTTCATCTAATTCCTGGGGTCTATTTGTTGCACCGACAACTAAAATTCGTTCTTCATCTCCCGTGCCCGCTCCATCCTTCATAGGAAGAGAAGAGTAAGTGCAGAGTGAGATAAATATTCTCATAATTGAAAATTTTCAGAAATGTCACCATAAAAACTTACAAGCTGGACAAGAAATTCAGTCTTAATTCGCCTAGAACTCTCATGCTCAGTGTCACTTCGTTGGGTTAGAAGTGAGTCTATTTCATCAATAAACACCACAGAGGGCTGGTGAACTCTTCAAATGACATCAAAGGAGATTAATGTTTTGTTTGTTTGTTTTTTATTTTTTTTATGTAGTGTATCAAACAGTTTTGATATCAAACAGGAATTCTAGTAAAAGTAGAACTGTAAGAATGCGAAATAGTTAATACTTACTTGGCAACAGCAAACAATGCGCGGACCATCTTTTCACCATCTCCAATCCATTTAGATGTTAAAGATGATGCACTTATACTGAAAAAGGTGGACTGAGATTGAGAAGCTATACACTTTCCTGAAAAATAAGAAAGTCAAGTATTAGGACACAATAGATGAGAAAAGTACATTCAATCTCAACTTCAGGTATTCTTGTTACCAATTAAAGTTTTTCCAGTTCCTGGTGGTCCAAACAACAGTAGACCTTTAGGAGGCTTCCTTAAGCCAGTGAATATGTCTGGTCGTAAGAGTGGCCAAACCACAATTTCCTGGAAAGTTCATTTAATTAAAAAGAAAATTTAGTGAACGAGAAGAGTAAAATTTATGGGGAATTAATAAAATAAAATTGGAAAAGTACCTGGATCGTCTTCTTAGCAAAGTCAAGGCCAGCAATATCATCCCATTCTACAGGAGCACCAATGTCCATGATTTCATTACGAATTGTCTCTATCATTTTAGGGTCAATGTTTTTAAGACGCTCATCAATTTCTTCTTCTACTTCTCCTTCCATAGTAGGTTGTTTTACACCAAACATTCCACCAAAATCACTAGAAAAGAGATCAAGCAAATTTAAGGAGAAAATAATAACATTTAAAGTTCTTTGAAATTAGGGAATAGAAATAGAGAATATGCTTTTAGAGGGTAAAAGAATGCATACTCCTCATCAGTAGGCTTAATAGGAGGAACAAATTGCCCATGAACTCCTGCTCGACGTGTCCCTAGAGACCTCTTCTGACCACCTACTGCACCTCTTCCCATAGCATATCCATTGTTACCCCCTCCTCTGCTACCATATTTCTTCTGATTCTGAATTGTCTGGAATAATAAAAGCCAAGTTTTAGGTCACTTTCATTTTTACTGTACTAGATTCGATTGTATTACAACGTACCAGTTCATCTCTTGCTGTTTTAAATATTCGGGCTTGAACTGAAGACATTCCAGATTCTGCTTGTGTGTTTTGATTGTTTTTCTGTCCATTCTGTGTCACATTTCTGTTGAAACCACTAAAATTTTGAAAAACAATTTTAGTAAAAATAATTTTGTTCAGTTATCTTAGATCTTGCTCAATTTCAATTATTTTGTACTACATTACCTTCCAAAGTTGTTGGAACTTGCTCCTCTCCCAAAGCTGTTGCCCATGGTTTGTGTTGGGATCCCCTCATTTCCACCAACCATAAATCTATTATTTACACCACCACACTGAGGCCCTGAACCAGGAACTTGAACATTGCTTATGTGATTGCCATCTACTCTTGATCCAAAATTGTTTAAATTTCGGTTCAACATACTAGATTGCACAGAACTTTTTCTTCCAAAACTGTCTTTATCATACTCATTTGAGCCAATGTGCACAGGTCCTCCATTGCCATGGCCTACAGATTTGGTATGGTGGCCTTGCCAGAAGGTGGAATTATTACCTCCTTCAACATCAGATGTTGAATCAAAGGAACTACCACGAAATAAGGGTGCACTGCCAGCTCTGCTTTGTTGAAAACTATTAGCTGATGTTTCTCTCTGACTTTGCTCCCTTTGCAGTTTAGAAGGACCTAAATAAGTAAATTATGAAAATTTGCACATAAGTAAGGCTATTAAAAAGGAATTGGACAAGGAAAATTACCAGCAATTTTCGGAACAAAATTCCCAACACGCTGATTTGTTTCCTTGTGTTTGTCTAAGGTAGGGGCATTGGCCTGCGTCTTCAGATCTTGCTCCAGAACTTCAAAATAAGAACATTGGCCTGGACATTCCATTAATTTTTGTCTGATAGCAGCTACTGGTCGGTTACTTCTCAATCCACTTTTCCATTTAGTTGAATCTGAGGAAAAGAAACATGCGCCAATAAATAAGAAATATATTCAAGTAAAATAAGAGAACAGAAACCATCTTACCATTTTTGCTCCCGATTGAAGCAACATGAAGTGCTCCATCAGCATAGTTGTTGACAGATTTTTCAGCTCTGTCGTCAACTAAGGCATGATAAGAATTCATTTGCTTTCGCAAAATCTGAGTAACACCGCTTGCATCACACCTAAAGAGAATTTCTTTTATCACAGATGAAAATGTGTCATATGTAAATGATCATAATTTCATTTCAATTAAAAATAATGTGTTTTTAATAGCGGAAATAACGAAAACTTCCTTGTAAGGAAAAGAAGCCGGTCCCCTGCCAATGAAAGACATGGTGTTGTAGAGGGTTAGAATCATGCATGTAAACACTTACAAGGAATGAGAGGCATAGAACAGCTGAGCGACAGATTTCCGCCTACAGCTGGCTTGCAAAAAAGGATCAGGATCGGACGACTTGCAGCGCAAGACATGATGGTGATAAAGAAAATTTTCACTTTCAATGTCGACGGGTTTCATGACTTTTGTGAGACTGCCGCCTCCTGGCCGTTTTGTTTTTGTTTCGGTTGTTGTTGTTGATGTTGTTGTTGGACTGACTAGCGGCGTATCAAAACTGACAACGCTAAAAAACTATCTTCTTCGAACTTTTTTTCAGAAATTAAAAACAGTACATAAATCTTGTATGAAACCCATTTTTTCCACAGTTCGAAGTCATTCACTATTTTACAAATCTAGATTATCAACTGTGGTTCGCATTTTAACGTGCGATCAGACGGTTGTTGTGGTGGCACTTGTCACCATGGCAACGATGAGACATCAGCAGCAGAAGCATTAAGTTTAGTTTAGTTGTTTAGGTTTACCTAGTTTTATATTGTGATGTGATGTTTGATGTGACCCAATTAGTTTTCACGATATTTTTAACAAATTTTTAGAGCTTATTTTTCTGTGTATTTCTTTTGGACTAACATTTATGAAGCTAAGAAGTAGAGTTATAGTCATTGTGGTCATTGTTTGCTTCAATGACAGGAGGGAAGTTGTACGAGAACCTTTCTATATTGTGGTTTGATGTGACTCAATTAGTTTTCACAATATTTTTTTACAAAGTTTTGTAGCTTAATTTTTATTGTAATTGTTGTCTTTTGACTAGCATTTATGGGGCTAATAATGAGAAGATTTATTCATTGTTTGGTTCAATGACAGGAGGGAAGGACCTTGTTGTTAAAAACTTATCGTAAATAGTGGAATATCTGGCATACATACAGCAACTGAGCAAAAAATGACTAGAAAACACTCAGCCATGTCATATAATACTTCTTGTCTTCAAGTGCCTGTTAATCCCTATAGTCAACAACCTTCACCATCATATGAAAGGAGATTGGTTGCCACTCCTAATACAGAAGATGAAAGTTCACTATCTAGAAAACTATGCCCAATGAGTATGTCAACACGTCCTGCTTCTAGTATGCACTCATCCTCTAAGCAAAATATAAAACCCAAAGTGAAAATGAATAAAGAGGATCCACAAAGTACCAATAATTCCCCATTAGGTTCATTTTTAGACTTCTATGAAAGTATTCCAGATTACCAAGATGTTACACATCTTTCAGACAAGGAATTTGAGGAAAAGCTGAAATTACTTCGTGACAAACAAAAACAATACCTGCACACTCTAAGTGACAGGTACAGTCCAATAGATTATGAGTGTCAAGAGCAGGTAAAGAAACCATGCAAGAGTTTGAATAAATTGGAATTGGCAAAGGAGTGGGTTAACAAATCATGTGATAGTATTAGTTCGCTTGGAAGAAAGAGTGACAATGACTTTAGGATTAGAAGTTCAGAGATAGATGACGAAGTCAATAAAGCAAACACTTTAGGTGGTAGCCCACGAAAGTATGATCAGTGTAATTCCAAAGATGAAACAGTTGGACTGCTATTAGAGACAGGCTCATCACTGTCAACCGACAGCAAATTGTTGAAAAGTAATACATTGAGATCAACTTTTGCTGTCGATGGAGAGCAAAAGACTAATACAACAAATTCTGGTCAAGAATGCAATACCCCATTCTTCAACGGTGGGAGATCGGAAAGTTGCCAAGAATTTCCCAACTACTATAGAATGAAAGACAGCCCCATAAGTAACTATGAATTTTACATCCCCAAAGAAGTCGCTCCCAAAAGTAATGTAAATGCTGTTTCAAAGAGGAAAGTTAGGCCATCATCAGGCCTGCACAGCTCAGGAACTTCAGAGTTAAACATAAGAGACTGTAGTAGCTCTCTTGGTCATGGACATCATGATATGAATAATTATGAAGACTACTATGTACCCACATCAGGGTGGATGCAGTCTGATTCTGATAGTATGTTAGGAATGATGCACAATATTCCTACAACACGCCCATCAAATACAGTATTTAATCAGAGTCCAATGACTGAGCGGGTAAACCCAGCAAAAGCTGGCTCAGCAAAGAAGAAAACACGGTGGGTGTAAAATCATTGAAAGTACAAAAAATGAATATACCATGAACATTAATTTTCATGTTGATACTTGCAGGAGGAAAAGAAGAGGATCCAAGTCAGTGACAAAGCCCGTGCCATTCAGCTTCATGAGTAATGACAGACTTTACTCTCGATCCACTCCGGATTTAAGCAGCCACTGTCGTTCTCCATCTCCAAAGAACTTCAGAGCCCGCCCCATACCACGGAATTTATTTAGCAATTATATTTACCAGAAGAAACAAGAGGATGAATTTTTTAGGTAGCTTATTACTTTGGGTTTACAGTTTACACTGCGTGTACACACGCGGGCAATATTGTGCACATTCTATAATACGACCTCTTTACTCTAGAGCGCTGAAACGCAAGGTGCGCGCCGAGGAGATGCTGCGCGCCGCATCCTTGCCGCCATCCATGGAGTTCCGCGAGCGGCTCGGCCGCGTCCAGGCAGAGGCGGGGGCGGCGGGGGCCGCGGGGCCGGCGAGCAGCAGCAGCGAGCGGAGCGGGCCCTCAGGCTCGGGCCCGGCGAGGGGGGCGGGCCCGACCAGCCCCCAGAGTACCGCCAGGGGGCGGGGGCGGCGCGGGAGACCTCGGCGGCCGCCCGACTTCACCAAGTGCCACGAGAAGATGCGACAGGAGCTGTACGAGCGCCAGGGGCGGAACGTCACAACCAGCCCCTCCCCGTACAGCCTCCGCACGGCAAGCCTGTCGCCGAGGCGCAAGGTGGGTGTATGCGCGCCACACTACGCCACCGCGTCGGGGTGGACCGCTCACCCGGCGACACTCATGTCCTGCTTACAGTGCTTGCAGGGCTCGGCCTCCTCCGGCTCCGACTCCCGGCGCTGCCGGCCTCGCTCCAGTACCGGCACCGGCATGGACGGGTCCGCGACGAGCCGCAGCAACCTGGCGGCGCTGCTGCGCATCCAGTCCGCCCGGTGAGGAGAGGTCGAGGTAGAAGTATGCTGTGTCCGGAGGACAGTCTTCCACATGTAGTAACTCTGTGCTGGCGCAGGCAGCGGCTGGAGGCCGAGCACCACCGCCTGCGCGAGGAGCAGCAGCGGCGCGCCGAGGTACGGCTCAAGGAGCGGTTGACGAGGCTCACGCCCGCCTGGCGCTCCATCCAGTACTCGACGGAGGAGGACCTGGCGCTGCGGGCCGCGGCGCGCCGCCAGGAGGAGCGCGAGCAGCGCCGCGAGCACGGCCAGCTCATGAGGCACATGCTGCACCGCGTCCACACCATCCCCACCCTGTTCGAGCGGCAGTCGGCGCACCGCCTGCTGTGCAGCGTGGACTTTTGCGGCAGCCCGGCCGCGCTCGACGACGAGGACGAGGATGCCGCCGACGTCAAAGTGTTCGTGCCGCACGACGTCCAGGCCCCAAGGAGGTACGTAAGGCGGCAGGAAGTTCGTGCGGTCAGCTAGCGCTCGGCTGCGCGCGTGCAGCCTGGGGGGTAGGCAATGCCGACACACGAGTGCGAGCGGGTTGCCTATGGCCAGTTTGACAGGCGCCTGCAGCCTGCGAGGTAGGCCATGCCAACGCACAGGTGCGTGCGGGTTGCCCATCTCCAGTCTGACAGGCGCCTGCAGACCGGCTGAAAGGCCCCGCCTGCGCAGAAGTGGCGGGTTGGCCGCCATGTGTGTTGACCACTCGATGTAATGTTGCCAGGCTGCCCCGGCCGTCGAGGCCGCGCGAGCGCCCCTGCAGCGCGGGGGCCGGGTCTGGCAGGCGCTCGGCGTGCTCCGTGTCCCCCGACAAGCTGCAGGGCCGTCGCCGTCACCGCGGCTCGCCACCCGTGTCCGCCGTGTCGGCGCTCCGCTCGCCGGACCGCCAGAGTGGCAGGCTGAGGAGCTACCACCGCCAGCTGCCGCACCGCGTCGAGTTCAGTGAGAGCCCGGCGCTCTCCGCCCACGGCGAGGACGACGGTGACGGCTACCCCGAGGAGGACGGCGGGGCCGGCGCGCCCTCGGCCAGAGACGGTGGGGAGGCTGGGGAAGGTTGATAAGCTGCGCCAGCTGCGACGTCCCGAAGTCGTCATTCACTTCACCGCCTGCAAATATTCGACCACTATGTTGTCACACTCCCATGTTAAATCATATGGGATCCAAACGCGCTGCACCGAACAACGCGCTTAATGTATATTTTTCTCTTTCGTCACTTGTGTACATTATTTTGTGAGAAAAATTTAATGAAAATGAATAAAATGTCAACACTTTACAGTCATTATGATTTTCTAAACCTAATTGCGTGGTATCAAACGTGCCTTGGACAAGAGGTCACCGCGGCGCTGACCTGACCCGAGCAAACACGGCCTGTCCGCTTTCTTTTTGGCGTGCCACTCGAGGCACAATGGTGGGTGGCGCGGCGTGGCGCGGCATCGCGGGGCGGGCGGCGGGCAGCGGGCGGGCGCAGCGCCCGGCTCACTTGTCGCGGGCTCGCGGGTGCTGGCCGCGCTGGTCGCCGAGCCCCTCCCCGCCCCGGTGCACCCGCCAGGGGGGTGCCGGTGCCGTCGCCGCAGAGGAACGGAGGGCCCCGCGCGTCCGTCGGGTCAGTTCGGGACCAGGAGTTTAAGGGTTTGGGTATGGGCACCCAGCGAGCCCGAGCCGGTCGTGTACCCCTTCGGGCCCCTCCCCGGCGGCCGGCACCGATACGGCTATCACTGCGGAGCGGCCGAGCTGTGCGCCGGGCCTCCGGGGCCCTCCGCTCGCGGCCCGATAGCGGCACCATGTGAGCAACACCTGGATAACTAACAAGCTTGGTCACCTGCAGGCGGTGATGCCATGCGTGGGGTGCTGCCGCTCCTACTGCTGACCCTGGCGCAGGCCCTCTCCACCATGGCGGCCGTCACCAGCACCAGACCAGCAGGTATTGATCTACTTCGGGGAGCAAAAGCAATGTGCAAAGCGTGATCCGCCGAGTGGTTCTCCTGCAGATTGCTTTTGCTTCCCCCTCTTGCCCCCTGGTTGTACACCGTCTTCTGCAGTCGTTTCCACCCCGCAGGCTGACCTCCAGTCCTGGTCCGCAGCCGTCACACAGTGGGTCACCCCGCAGCCGACGGCGGGCACGGCCGGCGCCAGCTCAGGCACGTCGTCAAGCGCGCCGCCAAGCCCAACTCCGCCCGCCGGCACCCCAGGCCCGGCGGGCACCAGCAGCCCCGCGGCCGGCGAGGTCAAGCACGCCACCGCGGCCGCCCACCCGTGGGGCGCGGGCCCTACCCGAAGCGCCGAGGGGGAGCTTAACGACGACGAGGACCCCCCCGTCAGCCTCCCGGCGTTTGAGTGGACGCCCGGCCATGCGTCTCGCGGCGGCCCGGGCAGCGGCGACACTCCAGGTAAGCGCCGTGAGCCTGGGGAGCTGTCCTCGCGTCGTCCTCCGCGCTCATTGTCAGTCCGTGGCAGAGCGCGCCGACCTGGGCTGGGAGGCGCACCCCGTGCGCAACGGCCGCCCCCAGCGAGTGGACCGCGGCGAGGCCGAGGCGCCGCCGTCGAGCACGGCCGCGGTCTTCGACAACGACGCGCCGGGCTGGCGCCTCATGGACCTGAAGAAGTGCGGCCTGAGCAGCGGCCCCGCGGCCGTCGCGGACCGCATAGTGGGCGGCGTGGCGGCAGCGCTCGGCCAGTTCCCCTGGCTCGCCCGCATCGGCTACAACCGTAAGTCATACCTCGAGGACCCGGCGCAACTGCAGCCGCAGCCAGCCAGGCTCCAGCCAGGTGTTTGTGTTTGCCAGTCGACGGCGTGCCCAGGAGAGTGTACCGCTGCGCGGGCGCCGTCATCACGCACTTTCACGTGCTTACAGCGGCCCACTGTGTCAAGAACCTGCCGGAAAACTTCGAATTGTAAGTATGATGTAAGTGCTTCCAACAAACCATGGTTAAAAATGCATTGTTCCTCCAAATGGTGTTCATCTCCCATGTTTTGGGAATCATTGGAGGGCGGCAAAAGATAAACATGACTCGATACCCGCCGCTGACCGTTTTCGAACCGCCCGCAAGGTCAGGTTCGGAGAGACTAGACACTCGCGTGAGCCTGTGACCAGCGCCTCCCAGCTGATGGATGAGAGTTGTGTTCTTTCTGTCAGTGAGCCCAGCGCGTGTTCGAGTGTGTAGTTAGCCCGCCCTGTCCTCCGCAAGCTCTTGCCCGCAGTGCCGGGGTGCGGTTGGGCGAGTGGGACACGACCACTGACCCTGACTGCCAAAACTCGGTGTGCGCCCCTCCAGTGTATGACATGGACCCTGAGTCGGTCATCGTTCATCAAGACTACAACAACCCCCGATTCGCCAACGACATAGCGCTGGTCAAGTTGGCCCAAAAGATCAACTTTAACGGTAAGACCAACCGGCATGCAGTGTGACTGCCCTTGCAGAGCGCGCGCCGATACAGTGGCTGGTTCACAGGCTGGGTCGCTCCGGTGTGCGTCCCCTACGGCGACCTCCTGAGCAGGAGCTACGAGTCGGAGAGGACCGAAGTGGCAGGGTGGGGTATCTACGACATCAGTAGGTTGACTAATCAAACCAGAATGTTATCATCAAAAATAACTTTCAAGGAAAACTTCCATTACCTGGTTCATTTGACAGCTGACAGTTAGGTATAAGGACATTTTCATTTTGTTGGCAGGTTTACAGAAGTCTAGCCAAGAGTTACGCAGAGTTCATCTCCCGGTTGTATCAAACTCCATCTGCCACGCTTTGTACCGTAATCAAGCAAATATCACAAAGAGGCAACTGTGTGCTGGTGGTGAACTAGGCTTTGATGCATGTTCTGGCGATTCTGGCGGTCCACTCCTAAAAGTAGAAGCATACAATGGAGGACCAAGGTATGTTATGAATAGCAAAAAAAATACCGTTAACAACATTCTTTTAATAATTTTTAAATGCAAGTACATATGTTTTTTCCTTGCACTGACAGGTATTTTATTGTCGGCATTGTATCATTTGGCTCTAAGCGTTGTGGACTTACACCATCTCCAGGAGTATATACTCGAGTATCCTACTATGTTGACTGGATATTGGATAACATTGGCTAGACATACTTCATACCTTACTTGTACAACAGCAATGTAAACAATGTCAACAGGTGTAATTGCCTCCAAAAATTTGAAATATAGAACTATAATTGAGTTGCAAAGTTTCTTAATATCCTCACTACAAGAGGAAATCATATTTAATTTCAGTATAAAAGTTTAGATAAAAAAAACACACTTTAGATAACACATACTGCAAGCAAACCTACCTCTGATATCTCCTGGTGGTTATGATAATAGAGTATTTAATATACTTTAGTATAATAATAACAACAGTTCAAATTCAAGATATTTTCAATCAAAGCTGCAAGGTTGCCACTGCATTTCTACAGTGTTCAAGTTACAAATAAGAAGTTAAAGGGATGATAGACTTCCAAAATTTCTAACAGTATAATAAAAAGTATATTTACAAAGATTTTACAAGGAAAAGGTAGAGAGAGAAGTATAATGAAGAAATAAAATGAACCCGACAAAATACATAATAGGCATGATTAAAACTGAATAGAAGGGAGTCCTATTTACAGAATTCCTCAAGAGTTTTTACATAATCTTTCACGTCTCTTATATAATTGCGCAAAAAGTGTACATCCTTTTCTACACCAGTAATAAGATTCTTAACTTCTAACTCCCTGCAAAAAGATTTAAAAGGATCAAAATTAGTACTTATGTACCTTTCGGTATTTCTTTTTTTACTCAAAACATATTTTATGGATAGGATAATATTTGGGACTTACCTGGTGTTACCTATAACATTATTTACACTTATATGGTCAGGGGTGTAATTTTCCCAGAAGTCCAATGTCAGGTGCACTTGGAACCATAAGTGACATTTGAAACTGACAACATCAAAGTACAGACTGCAACAAAATTCAAGATCAGAAATAAATGATTTGTCAATTGTACTGTCACTATCATGTCAAGTCAATAAATAAGTCCTTTCTCACCCATTATTTGATATTTTCAGATTTTCGGTTTTTTCTTGAATTATGGTTTCAATTATGAACTTTCTTACAGGCCAGACCTCCCTCACAATTTGCTGCAATGTATCCATAAAATTGGTAGAATGATGAAGAAGTGAAGTCCATTTTTTTGTTGACAGGGTATCCTTAAGGATTTTCATGCCCCACTGCCCCACAGGTTTGCCAGAGTCTGAAATAATTAAATTGAGAATAATTAAAAGTATGTAAAATAAATTATTGGGTAATTACAGTAAATCACAACTTACCATTAAAAACAAAACACCCTGAGTTAGCTTCAATATTGCCATCAACAAGACGAGAGGGTTTCAAATGTACTTTCAGTTCTAGGCATGTACATTTGAATTTGAAGGTCCACAAATCAGTATCATCACTCTTTCTGGCGTCCCAGCACTGTGGATGTCTTAAAAGAAAATACAGGAGATAAAATGAAAAGTATTATTATGATTATACACGTATTAGGTAAGAGCATCTCTGCTCACAGAGGACACTTACTTTATTTGATTTTTATAGATGATATCATTGATGCTAAGACCTACATGGGTTGATAAGGATGCATCGCTACAATTAACATCAGAGCTACAGCTATCCCTGTTAAGAGATTCAGACAATCTTGATTGAAGGTCTGGTGTGAGAGTTGATTTTGATGGACCTGCCACTTGAGACTCCCAGCTAGAGTCTCGCATGCGTTTGCTTAACTGTCTATCAAGTGACTTGTTCAGACAAATTTCATCTGTCTCCTGGCTTGGATCACGACTTCGTTTAGATGATTGAATAAGAATTGACTTTTCAGAGCTATGTCCCTCACTTTCCAAAGTGGATCCTGAAGACCTAGATAGCCTACAATCATTAGTATCAAGTGGTGTTACAACTTCACAGTCACCATCGAGATGTTTATTTTCTTCTTTGACACATTCAGAAATTGTTGTTGATGATTTAACAGGCACAGTGCGATCAATATCAATTTGATCAGAAAAGCTTTCAGGTACTCTGATTTCTGTGAATTCAGATTGAATTTGTGGAGCTAAGTCTTTAACTGCATCAGCGCGTTCGAGATGCGAATGAACCATAACAACACTATTATCCACAGCAGTTTCTGAAATTTCAAGTAGTTCCGAGAATGATCCATCATGGAACATATCACAATCTCTAGCAAGTATGTCTAAGAGTGGACCATCAACTAAACTCTTTCTATTTTTAGGAAGAACACTATCCAAGACTTTGACACCACTATTAATACATGACTCAACAGTGCTTGGTTGAGAATTTGAAATGGTTTGACCTATATGAGCATTTTCCTTTATTGGCGTGGATTTCAGGCAGGGCCTGGATTTAAATGGATCAAAGGGAGGTGACTCTTTAGAGACACCTACAGTAAGCTTGGCACTATCACTTTGAAATAGATCTTGCTTGCCTTGCTCTTGATCATCCATAGTCAGTTTATTCTGTTTGTGATCAGCCATGTTTAATGAAGAACTCTTGGTAACAAATCTTCTGATGTCCGCTGGTTGGGCAGTCTGTGCACCAACAGTCAATACTGCTTGACTCTGGCTTGTTTGGACCAGCAAGGATTCAATCCCACCCTGCTTTGATGGTGATGGCAAAAGTTGTGGTCTTGACTGAAATGGGTCTGGAATATAATTAAGACCTCCTCCCGAACCACTCAAGAGAGCACTGGGCTTTCGAATCTGATCTGCAGCCAAGCTTTCTTCAGCCTGCTTGGGTAACTCCGCTGAATTGTCATTCAAGTGATGTGATATGGTGATCTCGTTGAAAGACATTTTTTGTTTACTGGCACTATTTTCTTGCTGAACAACTGGAGTATGAAGATAAACTCTACTGCTTTCTTCTTGATTAGGCTGTGTAACCATAAATTCTGTCATAAGGTGGATAGCTTGATTATCAGTCCTTGACTTGCTCTCTTGAACATTCTCTTTCAGACAGACCCCTGATGTGTCCATGGCTTCAGTTTCAATGTGGCACACATCAGGACCTCTAGAACTAAGATGACGAGAGTTTTCCAGATTACCAGCGAAATTATTAGTTACAGAGCTCTGCGACTTCATAGAGACAGAGGTGCTATCAGAGAGAAGTGGTATAGCTTTGTCACCTTGAACAATGTTAAGACAAGGCTCCACATTTTCATTACATTGAAAACCAATTTTACTAGGAATCAGTTGGGGTTGAATCTCAGCACATAAAGCACTAGCAACTTGGGTTGATGTATATTCTCTTCTACTACAGACTTGCTCCATAGATGTAGTTGAAACATTGGAGTTACTTGAGGGGATACTATTCCCCTTTTCATTTCCAAATTTAGTTTTGTCAATATTTCCTACCTCAACAAAATTTTGTGTAATGCAAGATGGCATTGCTGCAGTAAATTCCATAGTTGTAGACAGGACATTAGTTTTGTTTGGACATTTGTGGCATTCTTCATCATCTCCATATTTTTCTTCAGGGGGTGTTTGTATGTTGTTTGGTAATGCCATTGTAAACTCCATTGAGGTGGCCAGTATTTGGGTTTTAGAATGGGACGCAACTTTATCACTCTCGATAGTGTTTTCATGAGAATGATGGCCGGCAGGGTACTCTTTGGTGTCTTCAGAATAATGGTGCATAACATTCTCTCTGATGTTAGATGACATTACTGTTGTAAATTCCATAGTTGAAGACAGGGCATTTGTCTTGTTTTGACATTTGTGGTTTACTTCATCATGTCTATCATCTTCTTCAAGGGGAGTTTGTATATTGGTTGGTAAGGCTGTTGTAAATTCCATTGAGGTACACATCATTTGAGTTTTAGAATGTGCACATTGTTCCCTTTCTATCACCCCCATATCAGAATGGTGCTGAATGTCATCTTCTGGAAGACGCAGATCTTTAATGTTAGATGGCATTGCTGTTGTAAACTCCATAGTAGTAGACATCGGAACTGTTTTGTTAAAACTTTGGTGGATGTCCTTTTCTTTTCCAATATTTACAACAATTTTATCATTTCCTTGAATGTGTGTTTGTATGTTGCTGGGTAAAGCAGTGGTAAATTCCATTGAAGTGCACATTCTTTCAGAAGTGGAATGTGATGGAACATTTTCACATTCCATTATGTCCTCATTCTCTCTGGGGTCTTCTTCAGAATGATTGTCTATAAGGCTCTCCCTAATGTTTGATGGCAATGCTGTTGTAAGTTCCATGGTTGTAGACATGGCTACTGTTTTGTTTGAAGATCTGAAGTTTTCTTCCTCATTTTGAATACTTACATCAAATTTATCATCTTGAAGAAGACAAGTTTGAATGTTTGTAGGTAAAGCTGTAGTAAATTCCATTGAGGTGCACAAAAGTTGAGTTTTAGAATGGCATGGAACACTTTCACTCACAATAATATCTTGATCGACATAATACCCAACAGGGTTTTCTCGAACGTCAGAGGGAAGTGATGTTGTTAAGCCCATGGTTGAACCAATTATAAATTTTTCAGAATGGGGAGCTGCACTCTCAACCATTTTTTCATCCTGAGAGGAGAGCTTTTCTTGAATCTCAGTGGAAAAAGCTCTCCCTAATTCCATGGATGATGGTTCAGCACTTCCTTGTTGGCAGGAGTCAATTTGCAGTGATTCTCTACACAGTTCAATTGGTTTGCTTCCATTTAAATTTGGAGCAAATGTGTTTGTTTGTATAATACCAGGTAAAGCTCTGGTAAAATCCATGGATTCGTCAAGGAATTGTGTTGCATCGGCAGAACACACTTCCATTGTAGAGGTCATAACAGGCGTGACAACATTAAATCCTGCATCACCACACATATTACTGCTAGTAAAATATTGAGCTCTAGGTGATAAAGCAGGAAGTCGGTTTTGCTCTTCAGGGTTAACTTGTGAAAGTTTGTTATTTTCCTTAGATACTTGACTTTTTTGATCTGGGAATTTCAGACATTGAACAGGAGCTTTCTTGCTTTCAACTGAAGAAACAGGTGGAGTTTCATTCTCAGGTTCATCAGTTGGCACCCTTATTTCTCCAAAACTAAATCGTGTTTTCTGGGCAGGCTTGGATTGTCCTGTTGAAGGTTGCGTGGAATTATTCCCTTTAAATTCCCTTAAAATCTGTTCACAAGGATCATAATCATCCTGGATGCTTAAAGATCTGTAAGCTAAAACAGAGACAAATTGATAACAGACAGTTTATCTCAGCAAACTGGAAAGTAAATGAATAATCGTAAATGTACCTGAGGCTTGTGTTCTGTTTTGAATAGTGCTATTATTGTCACTAACAATGTCAGAGTGTGTGTTATTACTGCTGTCACTCGTCACAAGAAGTTGTTCATACTCTGGAGCATGAAAAACAGATGCAATCTCTGCTTCAGAACAAAACTCCCTAAAACACAAATGAGAAGTATAAGAGGACCAAAAGCTTAGAACAGTTTTAAAAATAAATGGAACCAATGAAATGAAAATACATACTTGACGAAGTTCTTTCCAGCAAAGCTCACTCTACGACGAAGTGCTGTGTATGAAGTAATTTCATCATCAGAACTAGATTTGACATCTAGAGAATTAACATCCTGGAGTGGTGCTCGAGTTTTGGGGATTTTCAGGATCTAAGGACAGGAGAATGAAGTACATAATGGCAACAAACAACATTGAAGCAAAAACTGGAAACGTAACATAATTTAGAAAATACGATTGAACTTGACAGAAAGAAATGAAGGATTAAAATAGCAACTAATTGTAAATATAGGTTTTAGATAAGTTAATAATACAGACAGATAATACAAATTGCAAGCTACCAAAACGAAGACTTCCAACCTAAAACAGTCACAAATAGTACGGTTAACTTACAGAGGATTTCCGTCGGTTTCTGTCTGCCATGATATGTAGAAGAAAATGATTACAAACTAAATGCAATTAAGATCCGAACGAATTAAATGCTTAAGAGTGATCCACGACGCAGGACAACACTAACAACAACAACTCACAAACCAAAGCAGTCCGCAGTCGCTATTTTCAAATTTGTAACCGACCGGCTCACACATTGGCGGGCTCTTTGGTAGTGATCCACTTGGCCGTGGGAACCCTTTATTTCCAGAATAAGTGGAAGTGTTTGGTTCCCTTATTCGCAGTCGGAGATTGTTGATAAACAAGTTTAGTTCAGTCCTTTGCAACTGTGTGGCGAAGCCCCGGCCGTTTATTATTTGTAACAAATGTGACAATATGTCAAAAACGTTGGTGGAGCTGTGGAGGTGTGCTGGTGAGTGCTTACACCTTACTTGCATGTATGTTAATCACCTTTTTATAACTGTCATCCACGTAGATTGCGACATGCGAGCAAGGTAGCTTGGTAGCCGGTAAGAAGTTGCTTACACAATAATCATTATTTTGAAGTGATTTTCATTATTTCTCTCGGAATATGTGATTATTGGTTTTCTTATTGAGAAATACCACTCAAACCACTTGATTGTTGCCTTTAGATTCTATTGTGGGGCATGCATAAATGAGTTACCGTATCACAGTCCCTTTTTGTCAGAATTTTTATACACACTCCAGGATGCAAAGTCTTACAAAGTGAAGGAAAATCTCCTTAACTTAGGCAACAGTAGTGAAGAGCAAATCTTCTTCAAATTCAATTATTAATACAACCAAAGTATCAGGTCTATTTGCTGCTGTTGTTTTTCCTTTGAAAAGAGCAGCAGGTTCAATGATTCATATCCGAAGGTGATGAATAGAAAATTCAAGAGGGATACTAGGATGGTAAATACACTTAATAGGTGACAAAAGTTGTATGGGATTCAATAAGGTCCACAGTTACGTGACCAATACCATGCCAATACTGACACATTTTATGCTGTGTCACACTTTGCAGTAACATAGTATAAGTAAATAAGGAAATCCAGATTATTGTGACTTTTTGCCAAGATTTGTTTTAAAATAATTATTGTTATATGGCAATAATAACGGTGCACCGTGACGCCCAAATCAAATGTTAGTGTATTTTCAGCTGTTGGTATATTTTGAAATATTTCAGGTATACTGGTAACTTTTTCTTGTGTCTTTTTTACAACTATAATTATAGAGTTAAACTAGTGATCAAAACTCAAAGACAATAAGGAGTCAAATTATGTAATTTATCAAGTTTAACTAGCTTACTGTCTCTTATGGTTTCACATTTTAATACACTCGTGAGCAAAATTAAAGCGCCACTTTTTTGACAGGGCGTAATTTCGA